GACCTAAAGTATTATTTTCACAAAAAAAATAGAGTGTGTTTGGTTCTCTAAAAACCCCCTTCTTAACTAAAAACTTATCACTATACTACTCTTTACACACCAACTTTTTCTTCTTTTTTTATAATTACACTAGGAAAATATTATTTTATTGAAGAATGTATGATTGAAAATAAAAATTAATTTACTATAAAAAATAAAAATCTGTATCAAATAGGCCCTTAAAAGGTAACTTTTTTAAAAATGCCATGGGATGCAATTTTCTCTTGAAAAACATGCCACCATCAGTCATTTTACATAAAGTGATCCGCAAGGTCAGAAGATTTGTTTCCACGTTTTGAAATCCGATGGAATCTTCCAAAAGAAACAACATTGATTGGCCCACATATCCTGTGATACATCAGGATCAAGGATTGCAAGTATCATATATCTATCTAGTCTATATTTATATCGAAAAATGTTACTTGTACACACTTGGTACCATATTTTTAAATTAGGGTGCGTTTGATGAATATTATTGAAAAAATAATGTATTTTAAATAATGATATAATATGAAATATTTGATTAAAAAGTAAGAAAAAGTTATTAATGTGATGAAAAATATTATTTTATTGAAAAATACGTGATTGAAAATAAGTTTTGAACGAATATATTTTGAAAGAATATGTGTCAAACAGTTGCTATATCCTTTACATACATATTTTTTCAACAAAAGGTGTTTTTGTTACCATTCTACTATAAAATATAAATTTAGCACGTAAAAGGTTTATTATTATTCACATTTTGTTAGCTGCAAAATATTTTAGTTGCAAATTAAGTCCCCAAGTTTTGCTCAATCTAGCACCGGTGTCCTTAACTTTTTTGTCACATTTTAATATGCAGCCTTTAATTAATTAATATATTTTGTCTCTAATAACAGTTTATGTCCAACTTAAATTTTGCACCCTCTAACCAAATTGACGTAATTTTAATTACATTTTTATGGTCCAGTAGATTACATTAATTAGCTAGTTTGAATTTATAAATTACACTAAATTACACCATGTTTAGTCCCCATTTTTTAAAAGAAAAATTCTACTTGTACATCAACTTTTGTACATAATGGGCTACACCCCCTCATATGGAGTGTGGGACCCACTGCATAAAATATTTTTTATTTAAGCTGGTCGCACCTCCATGTGAGGAGGGTGTACACCCCGATGTACATTATGATGTACAAGTAGCAAAGTCGTTTTTAAAATTAATTTTTTCTTAAACTCATTTTCGATTACACATTTAATGGAATCATAACTTTTATCAACTTTTAGCTAAACCAAATAAGGGCTAATATACCGTAGCAAGTTAAGTCGATGAACTTGCCTTTCCTGCTTGAATCCGCTTGCCAAAACCTCTTCCTGCTTCACATTCATGCTTACCGGGCAGTCGATAATGCAAGTTTTATTAACATAGAGAAGTTCTTATACTTGAATTTGACATGGGTTCGCCCACAACTACTCTGCTCAAACCATCTTCCATAAAATGGATATACATAACAATTTACATGCATGGGGAAAACTTTTTTTCCGATTAGAGTGATTAGTATATTCAAAGTCCAACGTGTAAGATTTTTTTTTTTTTTTTTTT